GGCTTGACGAGGCCCTCAGGGCCCTATTCTGGTCACCACGCAACTCGAGGAAATTCAGGCAGTTGCGCAGCGCCAGTTGGTTGAGAGAACCCAGGTCCTGGGCCGCCTGTGTGAATGTATGGAAAGCAGGCCCTGGGCTGGATACAGGTACTGGGCCGAACACAGGCCAGAGGCAGTTGGGCGCATGCAACCACCTCAGGCCCAAGGCCTGTTCTCGTTTGTGCTGGGCCTCAGGCTACCAGGGCCTACTGGAAGCTTCCTGGGACTGGACGCAGGCAGGCCACTTCGATATAGCAAAGGGCCTGTCTCCGCATTGGCACTCGGGTGCTGGCTGCACGCTGCACAAGCGTTGCTGCGCTATTTGCTGGCTGGCGCCTACAAGCTCACGGGCGAGCAGGGAAGGAGCAGGCAGCCATAGCTGAGCTGCGCTGCTGTAAGCTGGGTGAGGCGAAGGGTGGTCCTTGGGTGCAATGGCATCTGTGTTGGGGAACGAGGTTGTGAGTAAGGCGAGAGACATACCTGGTGCTGGAAGCGTGCGACATTGGTCGCTGTATGCTCGTACTTCGGGAAAGCTGTTGTCGCCATCACTTGGCATTGTAGTATAGGCTAGATAGGATCTTCTATCTGTAGTCTCGGCGCCGAGCGCCAGATAGGATATCAACATTGGTTCTTCATTCATGATGATGATGATGATGAGACATTACCAGCATTGTCAATTTTGAGCTCTTGGTGTCTTCTTATTTGGTGAAACTCGTGATGCAATTCTGCTGTTGGTTCGAGGTCACGACTATCTGGTCTTGTTTATATGATGCTGTTTGATTGCTGAAGTTCGCTATTGCTCATCTTCCTTGCAATTTGGTATCAGAGCTGTTGTACGATTGCGCTCATCTGGCGCTTGTCTTCTGCCTAAGGTGGTACATACATGCGGTCTGCTTGGCGAGTTGGATCGTAAGTGGTGTGTAGTGAGGAGGGTGGAGATAAGTGAGTGGCGACCCAGGAGGTGAGGGGATCGCCAGGAAGGATACGAGGTGTAATGTGGGCCTGGACAGTGTGATGACAACTATCTAATGTGCGATTGGTGCTGAGGTGGAACAGCGTCCAATGCTGGTTGTGCCGAAGCAACGACTGGTCATCACAATCGGCATCAGGTCATCTGGTGAGATTATCTCTGTGGTTGGGGGCAGCTATTTGAGGTACGTTGCTCTTAACCTTATCTACCCTCTTCGACACTTCTTACCATGAGGTTGTGTGTTCCTTCTTGAGAGTCCTCTCATTGTGAGGTGTTGAGTACGCCCAACCTTGAGAGTCGGCAATGTTCACGTGGAGCATCTGGGAGAAGATGGGCGGAGCTTTCGGAAGGGCCCTGGACGAAGCACTGGGTCACGGTCACCATGCCAACCCACCGAGAGTAGAGCACGCATGCTTTGCTGCTTGTCCTTTGTTCGGCTGCTGCGCTGTTAGATGGGTACTGAAGGGCAGGCCAGCCCTAAGTGGGAGACGAGAACAGGGCGTCTTTAAATAAACACCGGCAGAGGAAATCATTGGCTGTGATCGTCGTCCTGTTTGCAATGTAAAATAATTCCTGCTGACTCTTGGGGGCGGTCGTTAAATTGCCTCTGGATCAGCCAATGATTGTAAGGCTCGCTGCATGCGAGGATAATCCAGTGCAGGGCTGGCCAGCTCAGCAGATACTCGGGGCACAGGGGTGGGCCGAACACACACCTTTTAGACATGCAACGCTCTCCGGATCACTCAGGGATCCTGACGTCAAGTGACATTCAGGGGAACTAAGGGAGGGGTAGACTTCAGGTGATAAGTTCGAGAAAAAAAATTCCATACTGTCCTATCCACACAAATGATTCTATTTTTACGTTTTGATTAGTTAGGTGTACAGCCATTGACATCTACCAGACAGCATTAGTTAGAACTGTTTACTGTTCATGGTGCTTCTGTTTGCGGACTAGTCAAACTAAAAATAGTTTCGTTTGTACGAATCTGACTTACCTGTTGACCCCAACTGTATCTACTCCGAAATAGCCACCAATTACTTAATTGGTCTGTGCACTACGCTGCGGTAGGCATCCAGTGTGCATTAGTGCAGATTGTGCACAGTGCTGTAGCTTATGAGCGACGAGGAGGATACTAGAGAGGACAACCGGATCTTGCGATCGGCAAGGCGCCCAGTAGCCCATTTGGCATTACGTCCAGAGGGTGACAGATATCTGTTCCGCCAGCGTAGAGAAAGGTTGCAGCAGCAGAGGAGGGCTTGAGCAGCGAAGGCTAGCAGGGCACACGTCAGTGAAGCCGTACCTTCTGAAGCAATGGCTACCACTGCGCAGCAGACTTCTCAGGCAGGTAGTTCAGGTTCTGTCGGGTCAACGGTCGCACAGACCCAGAGTTAGTCCGCTGGCGTAATGGCAAGCCAGCCATTGGTATTGACACCCGAGGAGGTCGCCATACAGCGAGCTGCTGCTCGCGAGGCACAGTTACAGCAGGTTTTAGGAGATATTAAAGCGGAGAAAGAAAGAATGATTAGGAGAAGAGCCAGGATGCAGCGGAGAGAAGCTGACGTTAGTGAGTTAGAGGAGATGGACCCAGCACGGATGGATGATGATGTGAGAACCATACTGTCGGTCCTGTTAAGTGTAGTAGAGATGTAGGATCACCAGACGGATATCTTACAGGACATCCAGCAGAGTCCGGCTGTGTTAGTCGGGCGGATGCAAGCGCCACCATCACCGCCCGGTCCAGGTGCCTGGCCCGTTGCACATCCTCCTCCTTTTGTCCCACCGGTGACTGGGGTATCCCCATATGAAGCCCCATCATCGGTTGCGATCGTTTCCCTGGGCATGCCGATATCAGGAGGGGTATCAGCAAGATCTAGTTTGCAGGTTCCTGTACAGACAGTGTTCACCCAATCTCCGTTGCTGGTTGCGGTTACCACGCAGCCTGCTGTCTCGCAGTCTGTACAGCCGCAGGGTACACAGCCCCAGCAGCTAGCACAGCAGCCTGTGTCACAGGCTCCACAGCCTGGAGTGATGTAGGGACCGGGACAAACACAGTGGGTACCAAAGATGGCAATAGCCGCTCCCAAACCTTTCACAGGGGATAAGAGGGGCGAAGACCTCAACACGTGGTTGAGGGCAGTGCCGGTCTATGTCAATTGTAAGCTTACCTTGCCGCACGAGGAAGTGCTTGTGGCTGCATCCTATCTAGAGGGTAGTGCAGCATGATGGTTGAGCGGTTTGGTGCAACTACAGGGATACGGTCATGACTTCCGCTCTTGGGCAGCCCACCAGAAACTGGAGGACTTCCTCAAGATGTGGAAGAAAGGTGGCATCATCCTCACGAGGCCCAAAAGGCCACTGATGCGATCTTGACACTACGCACGAGGCAGTTTAAGTCAATCAGGGAGGCCACCGACGCTGTAGAGCGTCTGACCCCCAGGTTTTACTCACCACCTACCTGAGATGCTTTCCTATGCCTCTCAGGAACCAGTTGGCAGGTGAGAACAACATCAATGTTCACAACTTCCCCTCGTTCAGCAAGAAGACCCTAGGTCGTTCAGCAAGAAGGCCCTAGACCTAGAGGCAAAGGTAGGGCATGGGCAGGCACCCACTACGGATGGTAGGAAGAAATCACTGCCTCCCAACTGGAAGGCGAAGGGACGCATTATGTTTGTCGATAACGATGGTTCAGCCATCGAATTAGACGACAACTTCCACGAGGGAGTAGGTGCACAGGCAGGCAGCGTTGAAGCTTCAGGGGGTGGAGTTGTCGCTGCCGTAACTCAGAAAGGTAAGGCGACCGGTAGACGCCGTGGAGGCTCCTGGTCAAGGAGTCAAGTTGACCCCAACGCTCCCCCATGGGAGAAGGTGGGCCTCACAGAGGACGTGTGGAGAGATCGGTACTCACGGCAAGCTTGCATTCATTGTGGTCAATATGGCCATAACCAGGTCAAGTGCCGTAACAAGAAGGTGACCGTCAAGATCCCGCCTACGATGGGGCAGGCGGTAGGATCCAGCCATCCCGTTGGTAGCAATGTTGCCAGCACTTCAGGCACTGCTCTGGGAAACATGTCGGGCCAGTATGAATAGTAGTTGTTCCTACTAGGGTCGAGGTGGTGGAGACACCCTCACCATCTCGAGAGATGGCCCAAGCTA